AAAGATCGCGTTATAACGCGGCTCACCTTTCGCGGCTGCGCTGTTTCACAGATTTTTTTTAGTGCAATTTTGCATGCTTTTTTTTTTTTGACATCGCATTGTGTCCTGCGTCCTGATTGGCTGCAGACCACTGTCGATCTCCTCCGTGCCGTCTCTCCTGTACAGTACAGAATCCCTACATCGATCGCTGATTCATTGATTCATTAATGATTCAGCGATGTTGAATTATCTCGCAGCTGCTCTATTCCCATGTTCTGGAGTTTGATCTTTGGTTTCATTCTATAATACTGGACTTGGTTTGAACTTTGAGAGTGTTTAAACAAGAGAGAAAAGTGTGAAAATGTTTGTGCCTGTCCTAGAAAAGTGTATTAAGAGTGTACAGCGTTACAGTCTTAAAACATCTATAATAATTGTAGGAAATAAAGTTGGCTACTTCGCGGATTTCACCTATCGCTGGCTATTTTTAGAACATAACATCCGCGATAAATGAGGGACTGCTATATACAAACACTAAGAAATATAAAATTTGAATCCTCTCTCTTTTGCTCTGAGGCGTGGTGGAAAAAATATCGACACATCGACGAACATCACCTACAGATATATTCAGTAAATGCCCAAGACATCTTGAGAAATGTAAATCGCCACTTGATTCATCCATTTGGCTGGCTTGTTTTGGAAAACCCGACCGTAAACAAGGAGCGAAACACTCTACAGGCGTTTCCCCACCGGAAGTAGCATATGCTTAGGTGCACATAGTCTATCCCTCAAGCGGTGCGGCTTTGTAGCTTACCAAAGTCATACTAAAACATTTTTTGACAGATTTTTGAGCGCTGTGTACCAGATAAAATTGGTTCGAGGTCAGTAAGCACAACCAGAATTCAAACATAAGGTGCACCGGATTATAAGGCGCACTGTCAATTTCTGAGAAAATTAAAGGATTTTAAGTACACCTTATAGTCTGAAAAATACGGTATACATGAAAACTAAAGACTAGACCCATTGAAGTAGTCATTCCCTGTTAAAAAAAGAAAAGAAAGATGATGTCTAGATACACAGGTTTATAATGCTTCTGACTTTCAAAATACATGAAAAGCTGAAAGGTGTGTTTTGTTGTGCCAAATGATTATTGTGATTTTGTGGTCATTAAAAGATGTTTAGAATTTGGAAATTGATGATTCATCTCACAAGCCATGACACACTCATCTTACCTATATAGCTGCCTTTCTAAGTTAAAAGTACCGGCACTGGCATCAGCAATACTGATCCCATTTAAGATTCAGATTATTACCCAAATTTGCACTACTTTTCTTCTTCTAGTAACAAAAATTGGCATACATACAGGATTGAAAAGGTGCTGGTGAAAGAGGTTTCCTTTGACAAACCAAAGCAACATCATTTTCAAGGCTTACCAATTCCTCAGGTGTTACGTGGGGCGCCACTTACTTTTGGCTCAACTTCTCATCTTGTGAAACACCTTCAACCTAAAATAACTGAAATTAGCACATAATATCAGCTAAAAACTGACGTATAAATGCATAAACATGCTTTTAAAGAAAAAAAAGATTGAAATCTGTACGTACCCCTGTGGTTATACCTGTGTAAAAGCAAAGACTTTGAAACTGAACAACATTTTTCCTTTATGACACGTAAAGATGTGATATAAAGAAGCACATTATACTGTGCTCACCAAAACACCTATCCTATCCATCAAGTCTGACTCAGCCTGACGTTTGGCGTATTTTCCACCGCAGTCAGTCATTCAGTCAGTCAGCTTCTCTCTGCTGTGTGACAGAAAGAAGAGATGTCAGCGAACAGGTTTTTCAGGGAGCTCGGGGCCGTCATGTCTGCCTTCGCTGTGACTGATGAGGTTGTGAAGAGTGACGGGCAGCTGCAGTCTTTTCTCAGCCCGCGGGCCTGCTTGGCATTAACGTTATGTGCCATGTTCTCAGAGGGAACCCGTCATTCAGCCGTCACTCAAACCGGCAGACAGATGGCGCGCATAGACTCCGAACATGAAAGAGACTGGCAAAGTAGCAACAATCCCTAGGTGGTCCTTCGTAGTTGAAGGGTGCGGGTTTCTCATCACCGTTGCTTGGCAGCTCGACTTCAACTGCAAGGCCACACATGGACATCAAGGTGGAAACTGGGCCCAGACGAACATCAAAGTCACGATCCATCAAACGTGTCATATGATATGAAAGGGAACAGCTTGCAGGGTGGCTCAGGTCTGATCTGTGTTCACCTGATCTTCACGACGCATGGGCACGTTCACTTTCTTCTGCAGGCAATGGAGTCGTATGCAGAGCTCAATCAGAAACAAAATAGGTCTGTTAGAGAAACTGGACTTTATTCGTAGTCGAGCAGCACAAACTTCTGTAGCAAATTTGGAGATTTTAATCACGTATGACATTAAACAGCATGAGTAAGGATGTCTACAGTTATGTCATATGCGTCGTCATGGTGCAATTACAGCTGAAGGAGCATCTACATCATGATGAAGCAGCAACATAATCCAGATTAATTAGACCCAGCTATTCATCAGATCAGTTAAATTGGTGCCAGGCTGTAAAGGCTTTTATTCTGAACACTAGTTATGCATAAGTGTGTGTGTGTATATATATATATATATATATATATATATATATATATATAATCTTCCAGTTTTCCAAAGTGATTGAAACCTTTGGTCAACAAAGTGTCTAAGTAACCTGACATGCATGTCTTTGGACGGTGGGAGGTGGCCAGAGTACTTGAAGAGAACGTGCAAATAGTAGATTTGAACCAAGGATCTTCTTGCTGTGATGTGGTGGTGCTAACCAGCACCACACCACTTTGCTACCTGTAAATGCTAAATTTTCATGTAACCCAGGCAACTAAACATTTACATCTGCAGTAAACTATATGCAGTTATTAAACAACCACCATCTGGTGTTGGCAAAAGAAATGCTGGAGTCGTTTTCTGAAATGAGAAAAGTACGGGTGACTGAAAATATATAAACACGTCATGAAAAAATTCTGTGTAAAATTAACACACACCTCATGTAAAATATATTTAAAAAAAAAAAAAACCAGAAGGCTGGTCTAATTTTACATATAGAATTGATGCTTGCACATAAACAGCCAGTGTAGTCACTTGATTGATACAGTGTAAGCCTCATTTTGTAGCATCTGTTCTATAAATGATCAGCACACATCATGCAACAGCATCAAAGAGCCCTGCAGGATGCAGTCTTCAAACTTTATCTGCCTGTCATGTCATTAGCCATTACTGGGTCCAAACGCTCCTCAGGTTCCTAAAAGCAAACAAACACTAGGACACCACTGTGAGTTATAAAACGGTCCACATTCTTTCAGTTTACATGACCCGTGTGGACATTGTTAAAATACAGTCATGGATTTTAAATATCCATGATTGACAAGGTTTGGTAAAGTTAGACATTATCTTCCTAGTTTCCACCTAACAATGATACACTGAAGTCTGACTGAAGTATTTTGTAAAAATATAAATGTAAACCTCTTTGTAATTTTGGACAAGGAAAACTAAATAACAGCAATATTTGGAGGATTAGTGAAGTGGGGCTAAGTGGCATATGACGTGCTAACTTGTGGGAAACTACAGAGCTATATTTAGGCTAATAGAAACCCTTTAGCACAGGGGAGACATAGGATGAGGGTGAGGAAGTAAAGTTCATGTTGAGCATGTCCGATGGGCCTATTGCAGGAAAAAGACTCGATAAATGGAGGAAACTTCAGCAGATGGAACGTCTGAGATGAGAACATCCACAACACGAGGTTAGTCACGAATATGTTGCTGTGTGTTTCAGATTACTCGCTATGAAAAAAATATTCTGTCCCTAAGCTTAACATCTACACTGAAAGTCAGCTATTCTTTTCTAAAGCCTTCAAATATTTGGCGTCCGGGACATAATGAACCCCTGGGCTATAGTGTGCACTGTAAGGCTTCAAAAACTTGTGAGGAACACGAGTTGTGTGAACAAAAAGCCGAAGATACCGGGGGCGACTTGTTTCTAATAAATAAAATAAGACGAAAGTATTGCAATGGCTTCAAACAACGCTGTAGACCAGTGACTGTAGGCCATATACAGCCCACTTTGATGTGTACCGGACCAGTAAAACTCCTCTTTCCATTAGTGTAAAGAAGTTTAACTTTACATTTTCAAACACGAGAAAAAGAAGTGCAAGTAACATGAAAAAAAATGCATTGATTGACAGAAAATATGTGTTTTTTCTTTTTTGCACACTATAAAACTGATAAATATCTACAGTAGATAGTGAAAAATTTATGTTATTCAATTAATTAATTGTTTATCTATTACTTATTACTATCAGGGAGGTCTTTATTAGAAAGAAAAGCTGCAAAACCTACAAAAATAAAGTTAAAAGTATAAAATTTATGTCCTCATTCATATTTTCCAAAGCCGTCTGGTGGATCAGATTGGAGTCTTGTGCAACCAGACCTCAGGTTTGACACCCAGAAACAGGGCTGATATACGATCACTAAACAAGCGAATAGGTGTGTCGTTGAGATTAGCGTAACTGTCGAGCTGAAAGATCTTAATGTTCTGAGTCTACATATCCCCTCTGATTCTCATCTGACTGTTTAGCCTGCGGAAAAGCAATTTATGGCAGCAAGCTGTTCTTCACCGCATCATGATGTACATCGTGATGCTGCGTCACTGTTGACAACATGGTAAAATTCTAGTCGATAGCTGACAGTGACAGGAGTGATCGTGATGAGAATAATTCGTGTGATGGGAAATGAACAAACAAAATGTTACCGTCAGTATTCAAAGACAACGGGCTGCACGGTTCTAGGTGACATTCACACACAGGCGGCGTAAGTAACCGAGAAAAATGAAATCTTAAAAACTGTGAACGTGTGAAGCTTTTTCATCTAAACTTGGACTCGCTCAGTCACGCTGGCTGAGGTAAATTTAAAACAAACAAGTGAAAAAAAGATAAAACGGTGCCAACAGGTGTCATTTTGTGTGTCTTTATTGTGGACATGACATTACATCTTTTTGAAATGATGTACAAAAGTATAACAGAACTGAGAATGGCTCAGACGAGGTAGAGCTTTCACATCGGCTTGCTGGCTTGAAAACTACACAGTATAAAAACAACCCGGAAAAATCGAATTAAAACAAACACTCCTGTCTGCTTCTGTCCTCTTATCCTGTTTTGAAGTGATAATAAATACAGATATCAACCAAATACATCTGGAATAATAATGTCTTCTAAGGTAAATTAATCATCGAGTTCATAACAAATTAAAAAAAAAAAAATGAATACGGACACAAATAATACAACTTAAGAGGCATGTAAAACAAACCCAACCAAAGAGAAAAAAGAAACACCTGCCAGCCCCTCTGGGAGGGCAAACCATGACTAGCTACTCAACAAATCCTACAGTTTAGCAAATAGACTAAAAACACACTTTTACATCTTTATGAAAAAATAAGCACTGCTGCGCCTAGCATTATCAAACCTCCCTTGAGGAAACGTAGCTAAAAAGCTGTACCACACAGCAGTCACAGAACAAATCATTTTGCATTCATATCTATAGAATCATTCTAACAAAATAAAAGCCCCAAAAAAGAAAAGAAACGAAAAGTGTTAGCCGGCACCGTTAAAAAGACATTCTCAAAGAAACCTTAGCTAGAACTGGACAAAATAAGAATGGTTAAAGCACTAACCTAGTCTAAGTGCACTAGTAATGCCATTTGGTTTCTACCGCTGTATATAAAGGGTTTGGTAAGAGTTTAAGAGATTAGAGATATACACTTTATATTACACTTACTCCTGCTTCATAGTTTTTCTAAGTCACACTTCGGAGTACAAATTCATAGCTGAGGAATTTATCTTAAAGGGACTTCTGTACAACATTGGTATTAGTACTACCCTACCTCAAAGGCTAGAGAATCCATTTCAAGTATTTTCACTAACCACACCTTCAACATACACGTTTGTGCATTATTAGTCCGATTCAAGCACACGATATTGTATGCATAACTAAACAACCCAATGGCATAACAACTGTTTCATCACACATTTGCGTAAAAACTACTGAGGTCTCAAAATAGATGGAAAATACAGTACTCTGTAAGCTCCGTCATCTACAACTGGTGTGAATTTTGAATCAGAGAAACCGACTGCTTTACTCTTCTTCAGAGTCTTGAGCTGCTTCGCTTTACTCCTCCTCTTCCCCTACATGCTGGGCATGGCGTATTCAATCCTGGGGGCTATTTTAAGGGTGAAGGACAAGTAAAACAAACAGCCCTGCTTGACATCAGCCAATAATTGTTAGCATGCTTTCATTACAGGAGGTAGGATAATATAGAAAGCATCAAGACGGAGGCTGTAGTACACGGGAAGTTTAGTCAACCTCTAATACAGTAGAAAGAGGTTTGAAATGCACGCGCACACACTCACACACACACACACACACACACACACCTGTGTTAAGGCTGTGACAGCTCTACAATTCAGTGTCTCCACCTTGTGTATTTACTCATGAACTCTCTGATAGGCTGACCTCCTCACCTCTGCCTACTCTTTCTCTGACCCCCTCGAATGCAAAGCGTCATATCACCATTCAAAGAATCAGACTGACAGCCCAGGGGATAGGCTCATTAGTCTGCTTAAATGTTCTGGTAACCTAATCAGCTCTGCATTGTCGGTCCAATAAACACACTGTTACACAGGATGGTGGATACGTTTCATTATGTGCCCACTTTATCTTTAAAATAAAACCATTAAAGGCACAGCTTTAAATCCTAACACGAGAAGATTAACATCACGGTCACGTCTGTCCACTAAGAATGGCCGGGGACTTAGTACGAAGACTGGGGACAGGAAGGAACGGCAGGCCCAGTCGTGATTTTGAACAAGTTTAAAAACGGTCACACTACTTTGCAAAGGGAAAAAAAAAAAGAAAAAAGAATGCACTTGCACTGCTGCTTTCTTCGGTTGTTAAGGCCCCATCATAGACGTCGAGTAGGTCGCTTGCTGTTACAGTGCATGTACCCGCTGAATAATAGGTGTCAGCCAGTAGTTCAACTACAGCACAAATAGGAGGTGATGTCAAAATCAGATGCAAAGAAATAGCTGTTTTTGTTTTGTTTATTTTTAAGTCTTATCCTTTCAGACATTTGCAAAATCTGTCTGTATAATCTCTGATCTTCCGTGCCGACATATCGTTAAAACAGCGGTAAAATCCAACAGGATGCTGTCTCCAATCCAAGTGCGGCGGCAGCTGCACAACATTCCAGGTTTCAGAAACTTGGAGGCGCATACGGGCAGGAACGAAGGCTTGCTACAGTGGATGCGATGTCAATTTGGCGTCAACTCTGCGTTCGTCAGGTGCCGCTTGACGGGTATAATGGGGCCCTTAGATGGTATTCAGCCTGCCTATGGGTTCTGAATCAACAAGAGGGTAAAAGGTGGAATTAGGGGCCAAATATTCTCCTACTTCCTGGCTGCAGTGTTAATACCAACATGCTTAGTGCATGAGCTATTTACAAGGCTCCTTATCACAGTTTTGCATTTTTGTGTAATGTAGCCCATCGTTACCCATGTTACTTCCATAACATCCTTTATCAGTCTTGCAACTCAAACCATTTCCTCTCAAAAAATATATTCAAAAAACTGAAGTTGACTCATTAAGCAAAGGACTATCATTCAATCGAAAACGTTCAATCGACAGGCGGCCGGTAATTTTGTGTCATTTTTCTGTATGACTGTTTGTTGCCGGTGACGTGCTCATGCCGAGTTGTTGGGCACAAGATGCATTTATTTTTTAAAAATCAAAGCATCATGGTGGATTCCAGATAGAAAACAGACAGCATAAATGTTCAGCCATTACCGTTTATGTAAGGCAAAAGATTTATGCTTTCTAAATCCAGCATAAGATGACATCATGAAATTTTTAAGAGACAGCGCGGTCAAAAGTTCAGAACTGCTCTTTAGCAATGGAAAATCTTAGGACGCATCTCTTCCCCCTAACATGATCAGCACCGTATTTTTCTTTGCAATCTGGAGCCGACTTCTTCCTGCCACTTTCTTCCTGCTTTAGTGGAGTCCGCCTCATTTAAAGCCCACATAGTCTGAGATGGTGACACTCTAATATGAACGAGTTACTGAGGAAAACTCCACTCAGTCCCTTCCTTTTAAATGGACAATAATTGAAGGGCCATAAAAAATGGTATGCTCATTTATATTGCCTTTTTTATGAGCATACATCTCCATTACTGTTCCCTCTCTTTTTTGTCCCTTTCTTATCCTACCTCTCTCCATCTTTCCCTCTCTTTCTAATCACAAGCTCTAGAATGGTCACCGCACTCGCACCATTACACTGTCGACTGAAGGGGAGTGAGTTTAGCACACCTAAACACACACACACACACACGCGCACACGCACACACACACGCTGACAGAAAGAGGCAAGTCTTCTGAGTCAGAGCCCACAGGAGACAAACTTGCTATGTGCCAGCTGGTTGTCGATGAACCGTAGAGCTTCTTTCTTCTCTTGCTGTGTGTTGATGGTCAGTGTCCTGAGAAATGCACAAAATCTCACGTACAATAAAGCTTAAAAGAACAAAAAAAATAAACAATTTAAAAAAAAAAGGTTTGTGGGGGCATCTACAGCAGCCATGCAATGCCACAGTCCTCGATCACAATGCCAGCAGTTGCATCTGAGTTCAGTTTCTCTCCTCATTTACTTTCCTTCTCCTGTAAAGCAGCTGGCAGCAACTTTACTTGTTGGTACCTCCAAAAATGGCAGCAAGAGGCAACTCATCGAATTTTCAGGGCTCCCATGATCAGAAATCATTTAAAGGTCACAAGCCAACCTTTGTGATAAAGAAGACCCAATGAAGCAAAAGACTGAATGTTGGTGAGTCCAGCCTCCCTGCCAAAGAGAAACTTTGCATTTCACTCTTCACTTCTTCTATGGTGAGAGGTGTGCACACCTGACCCACGCAGCTTCTTAAAGGAGATTTCCATCAGGTGTCATTTCTATTAAAAAGACTTTTTCTGCTCCGGGCCGTCTTTGTGATTTTGAAATTTTCTAGCACAACTTGAACACGCTTTTTTACAGTAAAAAAAACAACAACAAAAAAACTACAATAACCTTCAATGTAGAAAATTCTACATCATTAAAGGGTGACGGTGAAGAGGAAAGGCTCAAAAAGTGAACTGTTAGTCGTAGGTTCTTGTGTCTAGATCTGTGAATTTCAGGAACGGTGACAGGGCTTTGGGATTGTGTAAGAAGCTGGTCCAGGTTGTGATCAGATCAGCTGAAGGTGTTTACTGTTGCTGTTGTGGGTTTGGTGGGTGTTTGGCAGCCGGTCCTCCTCGCTCCCCCTGGCTCAGTAACAAGCTCCTCCTGTCTTGGTACTGGCTGTTGTCAAAAGGCATATGGTGGACACTCTGGACATGTGTCTTTAAGTTCCCTTTCTGAGAGGCTCGGTATGGGCAGAGTTGGCAACAGAATGGCCTTTCCCCTGAGGAACACACACACAAAGTTGAAAGGTCATATGGCGGCCAGAGGTGACACCGTACACAGAATTTAGAGAGGACAGGGATGTTTAAATATACGAGACAAAAATGATGCAAAGCATAGATGAGGCTTGCTGCAGTGGGAATGGAAAAAGAAGGGGAGGAGGCCAGAGAACACAAGCAAACATAAGCAAAGACACATGGTGGAATCCAGCTAGAAGTACAGCAACACTCTGTAGGTTAAGTGAAGCCTTCATATTTATTAATTTATTTTTTTTTAAATCTATTTTCACTTAAAAAGTTCTCTATCCTGACCCAGATGGAGTAACTGTTCCTCGCCCTTTCCTGCCATCTGGAGAAGAGTGCCACACATCCCCCTGTCCAAAGAGTCCCACTTTTGTCTCCATACGTTTCTCTCAATCACCTGGGCCACCCAGCGGCCCCCTACACAAACACACCCCCTCTCAAACACACTCTGTGCGCACCCTATACTCTCGCTTCTAATTAGAATGACCTACAATGGCACAGACACCTCTGAAAAAACAAAAATAAATAAAAATAAGCAACGCACACCTGAGCAAAACAAATGAGCGTGCCATTTAATTGCACCTAATTATCATTTTGATAAATGGAAGAATATCAAAGCGGGAAAACAAATGACTCCCCGTGCCCCTCCCGCACCCCTTCTCCCAGAAGAAGAAACAGGGAAATATAGCTGTTATCATACATCATCAGAAACGCAACGGTGAGAAAAGGAAGGGGGGAGTGGGGGGCTGGTGTAAGACAGAAAGCGAGAGAGATAAAAAACAAAAAAGTATAATTAATCACACCGAACCCCCCCCCCCTCTTTCAAAACCCCCAAAAACAGCTGCAAAGATGGTGAGGGTGAGACGTGCGGGGGAAGTGAAAACCTCCGCGACACCGTCCTGCGAGGGAAAACATCACTGACAGGACCGGTGCACTACATTATACTAAAGGTTATCGGCACCGTAAAGCAGCGTCAACACTACATTTAATTGGACCCCTCTGCAGCGCCCGCTCCCATCACTCACAGTGTGTGTGTTAAATCTGAGTTCACATGGGCGTGCTTGATTAATTATGATGGAGGTGCCGCGTGTACAGCCCGGGTCTCTCCGAATGTCAAAGCAGAGTAGCTTTAGCCCAATGTTCCCACTGACCCCAATCCTTACTCATCGTTTCTGCAATTTTTAAAGTTTGTTAATTACTTGTGTTCAGTTTCATTTCCACACAATCCTCTTGGTTCTTGTTGTATTTACACCTGCTCATAAACAAAGATGTTATAGTACACTGTATGTGAAAGGTGAAAGTAGGAGATACTGTGATGTTGCCCAGTGGTTTGTGGACTGCCTTTCTGAAGTGATTTTTGAGACCCGATACAAGAAGCAATGAGTGGCTTTGACTGTAAATCTGATGGTACTGCAGATGCATTCCCCGCTTTATTGTTTTTTTATTTATTAAAAATAAACTTTAAAAAAAGTAAATAAATAAAATTTATTAAATAAGTCGTGAAACTAGCAATTCAGACTGTTGAGTCTTCAGAAAAAGACTAACTGGAATCATAAAACAAGTCAGAAATATGGACATTTTCTCACTGAGTTTTATACAATTTCACTACTTTTTTGCAACCACAAGAGTTGCCCTCTGCTGGCCAACTGCCATGTTACCGCTGTTAACTCCAGTTAACAGCATCAGTTAGTTTACAGTGTCAGTTAGGAAATCAGGATGAATAAAAGCAGTAAAGTTACATCTGCTGACATGATAACAGATGGCTTTTAGTGCTGGAAATTCGTTTATGCTCAAAATACCTGCTAACAGATATTGCTAGGAATGATCATTTTCCTGAATTGTAGCTGCTTGAAGATTTATAAAGTTTGAATTGTAGCAAATAAAGCAACTTTGTACATTAGAATCTACATGCTGTCATTTTGCAATTGCAACACGCTGATGGGCCCATGTGAATGTGTCGAATGTACAGTGAAATTCCGATAAACTGCAAATCCCAAAGCCCGTCTGGCACTGCAGCAAAGCAGCAACTGCCCTTTGAGTTCAAATGCATACAGCAAAACACCTAAATTCAATATTTTAGGTGAAAGAAGTGTCAAAGTATGGGTATGGTTAGCCAAAATGCCAGGCAGAGCTATTCACCCTCTACACATGGATGCAGATTTAACTGTATATGTCTGAATGTGTCAGATCAGAGCCTGCACATCCTTTCCAGTGTGATGAGGAAAAAGGGGGATGTGATATTTGTAATGACAATGTGGGGGGGAAAAAATGCATCTCATGACAAGTAAAAAGCATGCGCTGTTCTTTAACCAATAATGCTTCTGCCTGATTTAGATAGCTGCGGGGGAATCTACGTTGTAACTTACAATGTAACTGGAAATCCTTTTTAACCCTATGCAGTTCCACATCATTCAGTCATTGCGGGCTCTTCCGATCTCATGTGTAGTTACATTTCTCGGTAAATGCACATCAGGTTACGGCGTAGTTTTCCCATAGACATCTAAATCAGGCGTTAGTTTGAAGTATCCCAGCCTTTTAGTGTAATTGAGCAAACCTCATTGTTTTCAAAGCAAAAGTGAAGCTCGTCAATGAGACAACTGTGAATACACACTCTTACGTGAGGTGTGATCCAGCAGCATGTGAGAATGCCAGGTGTTAATGCCGTGTGCACAGGGCGCCACATGTGAATGTTAAACATGAACAAAAAAAAACTAAACAAACACACACACACACACACACAAAGGCTAGGAAGCTGAGTGACTGACACAGACACACACATGCAGAGGTGAGACAGTAACATTAAGAAACATGCGGGAGCGATGAGCGAGCCCAGTGATTAGCCATTGTGCCACATACTTGTTTGGGAGCTTCAGAAGCGGTGGTGTGAGCGTCAGTACCTCTTTGGAGTCCGTTAAAATCAAACCCAACTGTGGGGGGAGAAGGAGGATTGGGTGGGTGGGGGGGAGAGGAAGAGGAGGAGGAAGGAAGGGGGAGGGAGGATTTGGTTAAACGCTCTACCAGATCCACACAAGCATTTTTTTTTTTTTGGTCTACCACCACCACGCAAACAAAAAGCATTTTGACACCAGCACCCTTGTTAATAGAGGGGAGCTGGCAGTGATGATGGTGGTGATGATGGTGATGATGATGATGATGATGATGATGATGATGACGACGACGACGATGGTGGTGGTGATGATGGTGATGGAATCTGGTGGAGGCGAGTCGGTGATTTAATATGACGCATGTTAATAGAGGCCTCGGGGTGGCTGGCCTTTTCTGTGCGTGTGCACGTCCATGCTGAAGACAACTGTCGGTGACAACATTAATTACAGCCCCTGTGAGTGTTTACAGAGCCTGTGCATGGGCATCTGTGTGTGTGTGTGTGTGTGTGTGTGTGTGTGTGTGTGTGTGTGTTTACAATAGAGCTTGGAGGGAAGCTGAGCTCTGCATCACTTACCATTTGGCCTCTGTCACTTAGAATCACTGGCTGTGCCACATATCATTCACACTTTCTATAAAGAAGCTACTTATCTCACCGTCTACTGTGATCACCGCTGGCCCGGCTGATGGACATGACAGGACAGGAGAGGGAAAGGAGAAGAAGAAGAGGAGGAGGAGGCAGGAAATCAGGCAGCCAAGGAGAAAAGAGTATGCCATGGCAAAAAATAAAAGTGAAAATTAAAAAGAAAGAGAGGAAGGGAGAAGGAGGAGAGGGAAAGAATGTGAGGAAGAAACAAGAGAGAAAAGGGAAGAAAAGAACCAGAAATCAAAGAGGGGGGAGGAGAGTGGGGGAGTCTATGGATAAAGGAAAAGCAGGGATAGGGAGAAAGGCAAAATGAGACAGACGGAGGAGATAAAAAGACCGCAAAGGTGACAAGATGTGGAGACAAAAAGGAAAATAACTGAAGTGAGAAAGAAGACAAAGGATCTAGGAAAGGAAATGAAAGGGAAAGAAAGGAGGGGAATGAAAAGCAGAGGGAATAAGTGAAAGTAGAGGAAGAGCCGGAGTGTCTGAATCAAGCTGTTTAGTGAATGGCACTGGGATGCATGCAAATGGATTCGTAAGGCTGGCGTGGACAAATGCTGTTCTGCTTCATTAGAATGCACAATTCCATCTCTCTAATTGACATGTAATTAATAATGTATACAATTTGTCACAGGTCAGTATCCGGAGCAAATCATGTTTCAGTTTAAAAAATAGAGACAGCTGCCCAGCCCAGGGCGGGGAAGGACTCACAGACCGGTTGTCACACTCAACTGAACAAAAAGATCTGTTTTGATTTATTTTGCAGAATGCCAGGACGGAGCGGACGTACGGGGAGCCTGATGATGAAATATTGTTGAGAATGTGAATCCCTGTGCATATATCCTCTATATCTCATGTCGGTGTTGCTGGGTGGATAGATCTGTGTGCGCACAGGTGGTACAGGAATGAGTGACTGGTGAGAGAAACTAGAAACTGGGAACATCTAATACTGCAGGAATAGCAAGTAGCTAAATAAAGTTGTACATGTTAAAGTAGAGCTCTGGACTTCCTTCCCTTGTTTCCCCCCCTTATTTCATATCTTTTGCATTTTGGGTAATTTAATGGTTTCTGTGACTGATGTTTTTGCACCTTGACTACTACACCATTTATCCTCTTTGAGTTGCTCTGTATAACTTTAGAAAGTCATAGCAGAGAACTTTTCAAACAATAATCTTTGGTTTAGGGTTTGGAGATCCAGAGCTTTATTTGATGTCTTAAAAATAATTAATATTTCTAACTGTGCTCAGTGGTTTAAATGATATTACATTTGTTATAAGCTTGGTTTTTTTATTTTAGAGAAAACAATCACATTTTCTGTTTACTTGTGTGTAAAAAAAAATGGTGCTCATGTCGTAATGTGACAAACATTCAGCAGAATAATGTATTGTATATTTTGCTTGCTGCAGTCCAGGGTTGTCACGATACTAGATTTTCACACTCAGTACTGACATAGAAAACTACAGAAACAAAATGGTGTGTATCTGTGATGAATATTTTAAGACTGTAATGCAAAAAAGCACAAAAAAAAGACAATATGTTTTGGAACCACTGCTAATCACATAAATTTGGTACTGTAGGCTGTCACTGCTTCTCTGTAGTTTCTGGCAGAACTTCAGTCTGGGATTTTAAGACTTTTTAGACACAAATAATTGTGTTATCCTGTCACTATCTACTAATATTACAGACAGGCAGGAGTGATAACATTTTTTGCCTAACTCACACATTAATATTATCATTTTATCATCAGCCATAGGCCCCAGCCGCTGCCCTAACGATAACCCAACAGACGGCTAATGCTGCTGTTGGGTTATTGCTAATAGGTAACGTTAAGGTGTGCTCTGGCCAGATTAATATTTATTATAAATGTTTTAGTACTTCAGTGTTGTTAAAATGAGAGCTTCACTGTTGTTTAGCATTGTGAATGCCAATTATTCCAAACGCTAGTGAAGTTGTGTCAATTTGAGGAGGCGAAGATGGCCGCGTTGGTGTCAATACTGGTGCAAATAAGCATCTAATCTGTCATTTTTACTATCAATTAGCACATTTGCAGCCCTACTGCAGTCACAGGATTTCACTATACTTAGTTCATATGAGTGGCCTTACATTTTGTCACAGTCAAATGTGCATTTGTTAGATTTTTTTTTTCATTGTTTCAATTTTTTTGTGACAAGCAAATGTTGTGAAATCCACCTCAAAAAAGTGAGAGTGAAGACGATTTTAACCCAAGGCTTAGACACTTCTACATTAGATCCAGCACGTGTGTGACAAATATGTACTTGCTTCTGTTTGGGGTTTTTGTTTTTTCCAGTGCGTAATGGCTGTATTTACCTGTATGGGATCTCATATGAGTTCGCAGGTGGCTGGGTTGGCTGAAACTCTTCCCACACTCATTGCAGAAATACTGTCCCTGCCGCATGAGAGACCTCAGCATCCCTGCGCACACAAACACGTGAGGGAGGAAACACAGGATTAAATGGTGGCTCTGCAAATTCCAGAGGTCAAAACCACTGCAAGCCATTCTGGATTTAGAGGAGGCCAAATGCAGTGAATTTGAACTTTTGATTCTTAGAACAGAGATAAAACAACAACAACACCAATTTATATTATATATGTATGTGTGTGTGTGTGTGTGTGTGTGTGTGTGTGTGTGTGTGTGTGTGTGTGTGTGTGTGTGTGTAAGAAAATGGACTATTAGGGGACAAAGAATACTCTGAGTTTGCATAGGCTTTACATTTAGGATTTTTCTTTTAATAAAATGGGTCAAGAGTGAACATCAGAGTCATATTATTTCAAACAGGAAGACATTTTCACGTGGCAGTTTTTCCACAGCTTGTCTAAAGACGTAAAGGTCGGATTCAGGCAGAAAGTGAGTGGGTGTACATAAAGCGCAGAGCCTGGCTGGAGCGGTGGAGGTAGGTAGCATCAGTAGTGGACTCGCGCAGGCATCATTAGTATGTCTAATGTGTCATTATGAGCGGCTAGCTCCAGGGGCTGGACTGCAGCTGTCACACAGCATCATCTCAGAGGCTGACAGCCAGACACACAAAGCGTGCACACACACCGCATAAATTACAGGCAATTAAAACGCCCCGGCTGTGATGTGCCCGCTCCGCTGCCCGTGTGTCACATGTCAGGTGTGTGTGTGTGCGCATGTGTGTGTTGGCATGTGTATGAGTTATAAGAGTTGTATATATGCGCGCTTGGGCCAAGGGAGGAAAGTGAAGCACGGGCTGTGGCACACACTGGCATCATTTAGACACACACACACATAATAATGCAACAACTGCGACATTACATGCACCGCTCACCTTTACATGTTCATGTCCTTAAAACGCGAAAAGAAATCAACTTGTTGATAACACACGCTCAAAGCTCGTAAGTCAGTTTTCCTTGATGGCACATGACTAAACGGACACTCCCTGGCTTCAGCCTTTTTGTTACGTCCTGCTTTTACGCAGTTATTTTCAATAACTAAACATTTAGACAAAAACCATCAATTTGCCATGCCAGCTTAATGCGGGTCAACAGGACGAACTTGTAAATTTTATACTGCCGGAAAAGAACCGATTAACTTTGACGCCACAAGTCACAAAGTTCACTATGCTACTTTTGCACACATCCTGCGAGAAGAATCTGCGAAACTTTTAGGTAAACAAAATTAAACAGAGAACTCACCGACGCCTTTAACGCTACATGGATTTTACTTTAAAATAGATTTACAGCAAAAGGAAAGCGCGGGAAAATCAATCAACTTTTATCTCGCCACATCTAATGAGAGCTCTAAAGCTATAACGAGGCAGTATAAGAAAAACGCCACCGGGAAATTAATTGTTAAGGGGACAAGAAGCCCGCCTGTGCTTTGTAAACCAGATTGAATGCATACTAAAAAGTGGTTTAAAAAGAGCAGGAATTCACCATAAAACCCGCTCTGTGTTCATAATTTCGACAGCTATGCAGCAAAGACACGTCACTCGTGCCGGATTTTTCTTTTCCCCCCTGTGTTGCATGTAAATGCAGGGGCAGCACGAGGACGAGAGACATTTAAGGATGGTCTACTTAATGACAACACACATGCGTGCTTGCCTCGGACCTCTCTCGTTGACAAAAAAGAGGCCCGGAGATTCAGGGGTGCTTTCACTGAGGACGCATAAACACCATAAGCTTAAGGCCTGGCATATACCTGGGAAGTGCCCATAACTCCGGTACATTTGTGTATGTGTGTAGGCAGAGAGGGAGGGATGTGGGGGGGGGGGCAGCTGCGGGAACAAGGAGGACAGGGATGCGGAAGAGGTGACAGAGAGTGTCTCTGGCAGCCCGACTGCTGGCCTCTGGATACTCTACTTCTACTCTGGGCCGCCAGCCCTTCTCACTGACGCACTAATGAAAGACAAGACAGAGCTGGACGGAAAACACAAGCAGACACGCGCACACTCGTGCACATTTTACAGAGAGAAAGGGAGAAAGACTCAGTTGCTCAAAAAAGGTCACTTTATCGCATGTGACTCAAAGGGCTAAGGCAGATCGTGACGATATGCGCCTGGACGGGTGACAGCGATGTCATGCGTCTGCTCTGGGGCTGTTGTCTTTGACCCCTGGCTCCACACAGCCCCACTTGACCTCAGAGACACAACTGAAAATGGGCAAATAATACGGATGTTCGGTAATGACCATTTCCAAAGCAGCTGGTGGGGTAATTATTCTGTCTCATCTCTCTCTTTGCCTCTTCTGTTCCCTCTCTCTGTTTTTCCTCCCTCCATTCGCATCTGTGCGAGTCTCTCGTCAGGCAGAGCCGTGACCTAAACAGTTTGTGACAGCTTTCTGGGAGAGTGGAGCTGGAGAGTAGGCATGCCTCGCAGACCTGAGAGTAGCAAAGGTTCTCTCACGTCTTTCACGATTACAAAAAAATAAATAAATAGAGGCTACACAGACACAGACACACACACACACACGTTCCTTTTGCATCTAAAAATTTCAGGCACATATGGACACACATGCTGCCTCAGATAAAGACTTTCATTATGCCTCACAAACATGCGAGCACACATGTGCGCTCGTTTAATGGATCCCATAGTTATTAAAAACCTCATCAGACTGTGTGTGTGTTTGCCTGTCGATCACTTTCTCCCAGATGGAGTGCCAAGTGTGTGAGATAAAGAGAAATATGTGTGCGTCTGCTCTACAAGTTTGGATGTTTGAGGCTGCTGGTGTCTTTTTCTTCGATAGCTTGTCAGGTTTAATCACTTCTAATCATATCAGCTGAAAAAGTTGCTCAGACACTGGAAAATACTCTTTTACATACTCCTGACATTTGGCAAAGCCAAGGCCCTCTGGGCATTTTGGATGTGAGCTTATGATGAGGGACTTTCTGCAGTGCAGCTTTTTTCCAATGTTTGGCATTATAAAAACACAATAAAACAGAACTTGGACTACGCCACTGCTAATTTTCACAAACAAAAGTAAATCAGCCATAAAAATAGATAAATAAATTGATGCCTACCAGTAGGATCCATGAGGGCATTGGCTGCACCCCAGCGGTGGTACATGGTAGCAAATTCATGAGGGCTGTAGTTTTTGAGGAAGCCGAGGACGTCACTTGGCGTCTCTGGTGTCTCGGTAATTGGCTCCTGCTTTACCTCCCTGCGAGCCTCTGAAGGTAATGAAGAAGAGGATGAGGAGGGACAGGAGGAATTCTGAAAAGCGCCACCCTGCGCCTGCGAGGCACCAAAGTTGGGTCCTGCAGTTGAACTATGGGTAATGGTGCTGGGCCTCGTAGTGTTAGCCCGAACCTGGCTGTGAGGATTAGGAAGCTGCTGATGAGGGGTGCCCCTAGCTCGACTGTACTCTGCTAGGCCGTGTTTGCTAGACAGCATGAAACCCAGTCCCTCTTGGGGCAACAAGTAGCGGTCAGCTCTGGAAGATGTAGTGGAGCCGGCAGCTGGGGCTGAGGGGCGTGAAGGGGTGCCAGTGTTCTTCTCCAAGGAGCTGGAGGATGACAGCGAGCTTCCCCGCGGGTACACTTCCACTTTGGGTCTGAAGCGTGACTGATGAGTGTGGTCCTCCGTGGGTCTGATGTTACTGCTGCCTGGCCGTGCTGGGACTCTCCCAGCTTGGGTGCCCAAGCTAGAAGAGGGGCCCCTTGAGGAAGAGGCACAGGGAGCAAAAGATGATGATGGTGTGGCTGAATAACTGGCTGGCTTGCTCTTTTTTAGAGCCTCGCTAGAGCACGCTGGAGGCCGTGTGCGCTGGGTGCGCATCAGCGAAGGGAGAGGCTGACACTCCTTCCCTTCCAGGAAAGGTGGAGGTCCTGTGCGTCTCCTAGAGGATAACGAGCTGTCCTTGGAGCCTTTTGAGTTGGTTTTAAGAGCCCATTTAGGAGCCAGATTGGAACTATTGCCATTAATGCGGTGAGCCACAGTCTGGTGCATCCAGAGCACCTCGGGGTAGCGGGTGGAGTGAGAGCAGAAGGAGCACTTGTGGCTAGGGAGGCTTTTCTTGTCCAAGGCTAAAGAGGCTATACCCCTGATGCCCTCAGCCCTGACACATAGATCCAAAGGTGCTACGCTGGGATCGAGTGCAGTGGACTGAGCTGAACGGTAGCCAGGAGGGGATGTAGAGTTGTTTACTCCATGAAGAAGCGCTTTCTTAAGTTTGATATTACTGCTGGGAGTTCCTCTGTCCGAGCTGGGACTGGGAATGGTGCTGGATCTATCTTTAGAGGCAGGTGGATGTTGGACACGGACATGAGTTAAATAGGCCTGTGAATCTGTGGCGACAAAGTCACACATGCTGCAGATGTAAGGCTTCTCATCTGTAGGGAAAAGCAACAACAACAAAAAGGTCAGTGGCTACAAAGGATGTCATATTGATTATAGTTTAATACACTTAATAGTTAACCCAGGGATCATTTCTTTCACATTCATGTTGGTTTGACTAGATGTAGTTTTAGTAAATGTCCACCAGGCTGCAGTATTGATCAGTCTTTCCAAAACCTCTCTTTTTATTTTATGCATACTAAAATAAAACAATTATATCTACTAATGCAAGAATATACACAATAGCAGAAAACAAAACAAAATTACATTTTAACATTTCATTAGCTATTTATAAGATTTGGTATTTCTTCAGTAATAGTCTGTGACCATGCAAAACTCATGTGAAGGTTATGTATAAATATTTGAATATTATTTCAGAGAGATGTACATTTCCTTGGCAACTGCTGGGCTGTTTTATAGTCCATATGGATTGAAATAGTTACAACATAGCATCGAACATTGCCATAGAGTTCAATAAACTCCTTATTGACATATAAACAAATGAGGAGTGTTACAGGGCTGTAAAACTGGTTTATTTACTGGCACGCTCTTATGCTGGCACTGCTTTACATTGCATGTGTTAAATGTACTGAGCCAATGCTGCTAAGCCATGCAGGTGCAATTCTATAAACTCCCCACAAGGTGGCAGTTGTGACAGGTTTCTAACAGTGAATGTGATTGTTATGACTGGATTTCCCTAAGTGTCCAAATTTTCAACAGGAACAGAGATCATTAATAATGATATCAAACTGAATGGAAACACTAGTAATAGATGTAGAATGAGTAGCAATATTTGGATGTGAAAAGGTTTTAAATAAAATATATATATATATATATGTGAGGAAGAACAATCCTAAAGTTAGACTTTTTCAGTATGAAAGACTGCCAGAGGCAGGGTAATCGCACATGCAGACTCATATGTATGATAAAATACATCAGATACTCTAAGTAGCACATTATTGTATTCTCCATAACCCCTCCTCTTTTTTTACAGCACCAGCAATCTGCCATCTGTTTTTCCATTTGGCTTCCTGTTGGCAACGTTGGCCAGCGCTCACAGCCCAGGACCCCGCCAAAGGTAAAGCGTGGCACAGGGTAGACTACCAGTTAGAGTGGAACAACTGATGTTTTCTGGTTACCAAACCAGTACTTTTATTATTCAGTTAATAACCAGTGGTGTGGGGCCATCATATAAAGGGTGGAGTACACAACATATGTGTATTAGGAAACACAAATAGTGTGGTGGCTCGAAAGGAGCGTCCTCTCAGCCTGCATGGCCCCTCACTGGAAAGTGACGCTATAAATAACCAATCCCTCAAACATCAGGCTGCTTGGCTGGCTCAGTGGTAAGGAGAGTGGATGAGTGACAGTGGAAGTGTCACAGGAGGTAACCTTAGAGTTTAGAAGAGTCAGCAGGCAGACGAGGAAAAAAGGTAACGAGGAAAAGGATGGATGGTCAGATAAACAAAATCTTTTGCTGCTTGAGAATAAAACACATTAGTTAATCGTCGAATCCTAAATACGTTTTCATCGCTAACTGTTAATTTAATGTTTCAACAGACTGATCCTGACACCCTCTGTGTATAAAATCCAACCTGACCTCAGTGACAGTGATCTCTGATGAAGAGACGTTATCTAAGCTAGATAGCACTGCTCGGATATTGGAACGGTGGATTCAGCGGTGTTTGCTACCTTCATTTTACCTTTGACCTTCCCTCGATGAAACAATGTGCACACTAAACTATAATTTTGCATCACTGCTGTACACACGTAAAAATATTTTTTAAATGTTTAAAAGAGATTTTAGGCATTTCTAGTATAACTAACACAATCTCACACAGTCAAGCGCAGTCTCAGATTGTTCTTTTTAGAGAGTGAATTCCTCACAGTGCTGCACAACTATAAAAAAAATAAATTAAAAAAAAGTCCGAGCCTGCCTTCAATGACTTTTTGATGTTCCCAGTAAAGCTAATAATTTGTTATTATATAATAAACAATACCAGTGTGTTAAGGGAAGCAAGCAAACATGTGTTCATGGCTAAGACACAAATCAGAGAGAGAAAAAAAAAATCATATTCACACACATACAAGCAGGAGGGAGGTGAGGGGAGTTTCCTGAGACAGGAAGACCTGAAATAGCGCACAGCTCGATCAGGCCTGAAGAAATGCTGCTGCTATTTTTGCATTTCTGTACTAGCAGGGAGGAAAAGAAACAATCACAACAATTCTATGCTATCCGCCGTCCCGTAGCTGTGCTGACAGAAATCTGAAGTTTGAAAGATAAACAGCAGAGAGCTGTAACGCAGGAATTCCTCCTTTAGCATTTTTAACCCATGATTATGGGTGTCCTTTCTTCTTCTTCTCCTTTTTTCCCCCCTTTGCTTAGCAGTGTTTATTGGTTGTGGAGGTGAAAAAAATGATAGGCATTCCAAAAATGTCCTCTGCTCCACTGACATGCCGCTGAAAGGCACAAACTCTCATTTAACTGCTAACCGTTCATTGTTCTGCATTACATAATAATGGCACTGTTGTAAACTGACTTTCCGGCAACTGTTAAAGTTTATTGACCATATATAATGGTATCTAAGAGCGGCACTCTGTTTTTATAGAGTGCCGTGCACAAATATGTAACTTGGACATTTTGCCACATGGTGGCTCTACTTCCCACTCTATAAAGGCTGATGAGCTGAGAAGCTGCAGCTTCACAAAGCACATTTCATCAGCAGATATTTACTGCAAGGCTTTAAAAGCACTGCAATCACTCCTGAGCCTAAAGTCCTTCAAGATATGGTTCTACATTTATGTTTCACATTATATTTTGATAGAATTGTTGGTCATAGCTTATTTAACTATACTCCTTATCATCACATTAATTGATCCTCAGCTCTTTGCGTATATTATATATTATGTGGCATCTATAATGGAAGAGGGTTATTTCAAACAAATAAAAAGGGAATAAAACAAGATTAAGCCAATAGAAAATACTGTTTACTAACCCGAAAGCTCTCCAGAGTTTGCAGTACCCATCTCTGAGGCCTGGTCTCCAAGGGTGGAAGCTGGTGGAGAATCTCCATATCCCGGGGTGCTGGGCCAGCTGGGAGAACCTGACTCTGGGTCACTGGTGGAGCCCCATCGCTCATCTCTTGCGCTTCTTTCCTTGTCTCCAACAGAGGCCCTGCCTCCATCCTTCCTGTGAACCCGCTGGTGGACGATCATCTGGTGACGGCTGCGGAACACCTTGCCACACTCAAAGCACTCGTTGGACTTGCAGGAAGAAGCTTGCGACTGGGATGGGCGCCTTCTGTCCTGACGAGACGAAGGCCGGTACTCGGAATCACTGAGGCTGTCTGGTGTCCGGTCCCCTGATGAGGCGTGGCTTCCCAAACCGGAGCTGCTGCGTCTACCCGAACTGCGTTTCTCTTGACCTTGCAGGACATAACGGCTGCTCTCCTTTTCAAAAACCACAGCAGCACCGGCTAGGGCTTCCTCTCCGATACTTCCTGCCCCGCAAGAGGCCTTGTAACTAGACTCTACCGGCTCCACAACCCTTCCTTTAGTGGCTAACTGCCAGGCCTGGTAACTGCAAACTGGATCTAGCTCTGGGATTCTTTGACCTATTATCTTTTCCTCACTTTCCTCCTCTTCATCCTGGTTCTTTCCCTCAAAAGGCTGGAGGTTTAAGTAGTCAAGGAAACGTTTCTTAGCAGCTGGGGAGTCCTCATCATCATCGGGCCTCCCTTGGCTCGGGGACTTCCTGCTATAGCCGAGACTGTGAACTTTATCGTGGGCTCTTAGGCTCTCTCTGTTGTGAAACAGGTTTCCACATTTGGAGCACATTTGGTAGACAGAAGTAACGGAGCCGGTAACAATATCAGGATCCTGGGCTACATCATTGATGGTGGCTGGATGCTCAGTTGACTCTGCTTTTGACCGTGACCTAGATTTGGTGTTGTGTGTTTTCATGTGAGATTTGAGAAACCACGCTTCGCGGAAACGTCTCCCACAGATGCGACAGCAGTGATCCAGGATCCCCGCGTGTTTCTTCATATGTGACTTCAAGAACCAGGATTGGGAGAAGACCTGACCACAAGTCTCACAAGGGAAGGTCCCGTCACTCTGGGGCTGGATGACGTCAGCTTCGGTCGCAGCCTCCTCCTTGACAGCGGTCTCCTCTTCTGTGTCTGCTGTTATGTGGACCTTCTCAATGTGGCTGAGGAGCTGGTCTTCCCGCTGGGCCTCGTAGCCGCACAAACGGCAACAGTAAGGCCGCTGCTCAGTGATGGACTTTTCCCTTTTCATGCTCCTCACAGGGACTTTCCTACGGGTTTCCTCACCGCCATCCCCATTTATCATCCGGTTACAGGCAGAGCTGCTCTTGGTTGGGCTGGTGCCTCCATCGAGACCCTCTGAAACCCTCATCTCCTCCTCCTCAGCAGCACCATCTTCATCCTCATTGGAGTGGTGGCTAGACAGCGTGCCCAGCTTGTGACTGCGAATGTGGACTTTGAGGTTGCCCTTCTGCGAGGCTCTGTGGTCACAGTAGGGGCATTTGTAAGGGCGCGCACCCGTGTGGCGTCTCATATGCTGCGACAAAGAGCTAAGGAAAGGAAAGCTGCGTCCACAGATGTTGCAGTCGTAACTCCCAGGAGTTTTGTCGTCCTCGGCCTCCATCTCATTTTTAGGGTTGGCTTTGTCTACGCTCAACTTCTCCTTCTGACCTCCTGACTGAGTCTCCATTACGTCCACACTGTCTCTGGGATTCATGGTATGAATTAAACTACCCTGTCTAGGTGGCCTTTCATAAGCTCAAAAAGTATTTATAACTACTGCTATCTGCAGCTGTACATCTAGAGATGTCTGATGCGTCCTTGTTGCCACGTTGAAAACACTATCTGCCTTCAATCATTCGATCAGGCTACTAATATAGCAGCTGAAGTCTAGTCACTGGATGCCACGCAATATAGTCATCCTCGGTGACTCAAATCACAAACAGCTACTTGTCATTTGCTCTCTCAGGGTCGAAAAGGTCGGCATATAATAACTGAGATTTAAACAATCTCTTTGTCAAAATAATGTGAAAGTTTCACGCAGTTTCATGTCATTGTGTCGGTGGAGTGGCATGTCTGAAGGTCTCTGCCTCAGAGGTGGTCATTCGCTACTCTTCTGGTCTTCATTGTACTGCCAAACGGCGAGCGTTCTTTAAGCGGGGACCCACCCGTATACTATCCACCTGTGAATAAAAATGAGAAAGGCATGTTAGTTCAGCTGCAGCGCATCATTTCAAGAAGACTTTTAGTTTTCTAAATCCACCACAACAAGCCACTGTAGTGGCTGTGTACACAGCCATAGATGTATATGCCACATCCGGGCTTATCAGATGCAAGGATCTCGGGGTCTGACATATTCTTATTAAAAAAAAAAAAACAACCTTTATCCTGCTTGTTGGAGTTCCGATGGAAGAAATGTTAAAACGAAGCAACGAGGAATAACATTTGAGATGTTGTTTATGATTTGTTACTTTGTGCTGACTTAATTATAAAGTCACTAACCTAACAAAGCTACACATGCTTGTGTAAGGTAAAGAAAGATGTCTTTGCATCTTTTACTGTAGCCCTAACGTATAATTGTCTGTGTGTTAAATCTGCTTCATAACCATCACGTGCGTCCCTGAATTGTACCTCCAAAGCCATGTAAAGCTGCACAGCCCTGCGCAAATGGACTTGTTTTGTACATAGACTCCCAACAGATAAAGTCAGCAGTCACTGACAGCACTGCTGAGAAAAAGACACAATGAGCCAAATGACTCATCCATAGCTCTCATTTCAAGTCACACTTTAAAATGATGGACTAATTGTCACTTTTTGCAGCAGAACATTTAAAAAAATAAAATAAAAAAAAAAGCAGCTGCAGAATCTTCCTTTTGAAGGTTTCATAATAGAACTATTACAGTTACTATCAACCTACAGTAAGCATTTTGGTATGAATACTTTATCATGAATGCAGTTCCATTCTCATAATAGCAATGTTTACAAGTTTAGCAAGTATAATGTATTCATATACATACCATAGTATGTATGGCTACCCTATTCAAAAAGCAGCTTCCTAACCTTTCTTGGACCTCAAAGCTCACTGTGGTGATAAGCACTTGACCTTCTTGCCCACCGAACAGTCTGACAAAAATGTACAGGGTTTAGGTGTGTGTTCGTGTGTGTGCGCGCGTGTGTGTCTATAGGACACTGTGAGTCTGTATCTTGCACTGTTCGCTGCCACTATGCACGTGCATGTGTGTGCAGTGATTGTGCACGAGTCGGGTGGGGATGTGGGTGGGAGGAGAGCGTGGGGGCTCTGACACAATGGCTGAGTCGACACTTTACACAATCGGGGTTGGAGTTGGGTGGGGGTGGTGCTGGAGGAGTGGTGGGGCGGGGGGTCGCTTTCACATCAGCAACATCAGCAGTGCCACCATATTCCCTCCCCACAGTGGCCTCATGCACCCGTCTCAACTGATTCTATCACATGACAGGGATCTTAAGTACACAACAGGAAGTGGCTCTTCAGACAGTTTGCTTTGCTCTATTTCTCGACTGGAGTTGAATGGGGTCAGAGAGAGAGTCAAACAGAAAGAGATAGATAAGAGAGAGCGATGAGACAAACAGAAACTTCCGTGTTGACTGCATACACAGTATTTCCATGAACAGGTGAAATGCTGATTTTCTTAAACTGTTTGTGTCTACGACATTTCTTTATACCAATAATCCTGAAAATCCAGGCCTAACCTGAATTAGCCATAGTGTACCCTGAATACTGTTCAAAGTGCCTCCTTTTCACCATATTGATGTTTTTCCTCATGGGCTGTCCCACTCTTTCACAATACTGATTAAAGGTCATTCACATCTTTATTCTTTTCTAACCGTCAGCTCATTAAAACATCAATGCATAAGGCAGCCCTGTTGATTTAAAACAAGGAAACATTTACCTTTATAAAACCGGACATATCACATAAGTTACTATCACAAAACTCTCAAGCATGAAAAGATTTCCATGGGAAACCTGCCTGAAAGCATGAACTATGTGAAATCTGACTGACAACATTATTACAGGCTTATACATAAAGTGTCAGAACCCGTGAGCTGAGTTACTGCCAAGCTCTAATTATAAGTGGATAATTGATCATAATCATAAGAGTATAAGGTGGTGGAGGAGGAAAGTTAGCACCAGAACAATCATGTGTCTTAAATTCTTGCACTGAAAATGACTACCCTGCACCAAAGCTATCTATCTCTCAAGAATGATTTATGCTATTGAAATCAGCCTCAGTAGGCTACCATGCTTCCTCTGGGCGAGCTTAGTCTGCTAAGATTTATAGTGAAGACGTACCATTGCTGCCATAAGTGCAGCTGTGCCTCACATTACCCTGAAATAAAGTACTGTATCAGATCGAGACAACTGTCTAAACATAATACAGTTAATCATAATCTATTTCTGTTTAACTGAAAACTGTCAACCTGTAAAAGCATACACAGTGTTAAGGGCATGGCTTTGTGGATGGCAGTGACATGCATAACCCAAATGCAGGCGATTAAATATGGTAAATGGCCTGCATTTGTATAGCGCTTTACTTAGTCCCTAAGGACCCCAAAGCGCTTTACACTACATTCAGTCATTCACCCATTCACACACACATTCACACACTGGC